TATGATATGATATGATATGATATGATATGATATGATATATGATATGATATGATATATGATATGATATGATATATGATATGATATGATATGATATGATATGATATATGATATGATATGATATGATATGATATGATATGATATGATATGATATGATATGATATGATATGATATGATATGATATGGTATGATATTTATGCTATACTAAAGAATAGAGAAAGGATACAGACAGAAGGCTACAAAGAATGATAATGAAAACTCCTGACTCTTTCCAGAGTCCAACACAGCCTGACTGTGATTGATCATTAAGTTAAAACAATTCACATGAAACCAATCAGACAATCACCTGTGGATAACCAATCTCCAAACACATTCCAAAGCAGCAAAACACAGCAGAAGCAAGTGAGACCATTATTGTTTTCCTTTTCTCTGAGGCTTCTCAGCTTTCCAGGAGAAGAATCCTGGGCAAAGGGATTTTTCAGGAGATGTGACAGTGACAGTGGTGATGGTTTCTGCTGTTCACCCTCCTTCCCACCTCTGTTTTTTTGCAGTTTATCCCAGTTCAGTGAAGAGAACATGATGGATCCCTACAACCTGGCCATCTGCTTCGGGCCCACGCTGATGTCGGTGCCCGAGGGCCATGACCAGGTGTCCTGCCAGGCTCACGTCAATGAGCTGATCAAAACCATCATCATCCAGCACGAGAACATCTTCCCAGGGCCCCGGGAGCTGGAGGGCCCCGTCTACAGCAGAGGAGGGAACACAGAGGATTACTGGTACGAGGGGTGCTCTGACAGAGCCATGGCTGGGGGCTTATCCAGGGGTTAGGGTGCTGCAGCAGTGTTGGCTAATTCAGGATTTCTTTTATATGTTTATATATTTATATATATATTATATATGTATATATATAATATTATATTTTTATATCTAATAATATATAATATATTATAAATAAAATACATTTTTAAGAATTTGTTTTATATATTTATGTATATTTTAATATATTTTATATATTTTTATATAATATATAAATATTATATTTATATATTATATTTATATAATATATAAATATATCTATTTATATATAAATATATAAATATATCTATTTTAAATTTATATGTTATATATAATATATATTAATATATATTTTTATATTCCATTTATAAAAAAGATATATAATTAATATCTTTATATAAATATATGTTTATATATTATAATACCTTTATATTAGGCATATAATATATAAAATATATATATTTATATATTTTCATATATTTATATACATATAATATATATTAAATTATATCTATTTATATATATATAAATTCAGGATTTATTTTATATATATCATATATATTTTATATATAATATATATTTTATATATAATGATATACAATATATATAATACATAATATTATATATATAATATATAATATTATATATATAATATATAATATATAATATATAATATATAATATCTATATTAAATCTATTTTATAGCAGCAAAGATGGCTCTGGTCTCTCTGGAGAGTCATCAGCCTTAAAGAAATAAGCTGGTATAAAGTAGCTATTCAGTTGTCAAACCTCGCTCACTTATCTTGAAGGGCAAAGCTGTGGTGAGATTTTCTGGTTTGGTGGCTGCCAAAATCAATCTCTTTTTGTTGTTTTTTTTTTTCCCTTTTTTTGCCTTTTTTCTCTGCCTTTTCTGTAGTGCTTTGCTTCAGCCCCAGGGGTCACTTGCAGCTGAAGCTCCAAGGCTGTGGCACAGTTGAATTTCCAGGGCTGCAGGGGGGGAGGGAAGAGGCAGGAATGCAAAATCACCATTTCCATCCCGGGGCTCAGAGCACATCTGGAAACAATTCAGGCACCGCAGCTCCTGTCATCTGGGCAGGGGGAAGGAAAAAAAAGGAGAGGAGAAAGGAGAAAGGAAAANCACTTCCATTATTGTTGGCTTGAATTGCTGTGAGGGGATTTTAGGGCTTGGAAAATACAAATGTGCCCTCTGATTTCCAAAAGTGACAGTGCCACGTCTCCAATGACACTGGGCAAACCAACAGCCCATCAAATTTCTCCTCCTCCATAAAAGAATGCAAAGCAGTCAGTTTTTACATAAAGCATGTGAGAAAGTTCATTACAAGAATGTAGCCATCAGAAGGCTTAAAAGAATTAAAATAAATAAATAAAATAAATAAAAATGTATAAAAAATAAATAAACAGGGTGACAGGGTCTTTGGGGGATCATCTGTGGGGTTTTGGGGGATCTATGGGGTGTTGTTGCTTTAGGACATGAAATAAATCCACATGGACACTGGAATCTCCAAGGTAAAAAAGAAAGAGGTTTAATTTCTGACTCAAACATTTATAGATTTCCAAAAGTGACCCTGGATTGGAGGATGACAGTGCCACCTTTCCATCAAATTTTTCCTCCTCCATAAAAGAATGCCAAACAATAATTTATTCACATAAAGTGCATGAGAAACTTCGCTACAAGAATGTAAACATCAGAAGGCTTAGAAAAACTTAAAAATAAATAAAATAAATAATAAATATATAATAAATACATAAATAATGAATAATGAATAAACAGGGCAACAGGGTCTTTGGGGTGTCTGTGGGGTCTTTGGAGGATCTGTGGGCTCTTGTTGTTTTAGGGCATGAAATAATACCACGTGGACACTGGAATCCCAAAGGTAAAAAAGGTGTTTAATTTCTGACTCCCAACATTTATAGATTTCCTGGATTGGAGGATGACAGTGCCACCTTTCCATCAGATTTCTCCTCCTCCATAAAAGATTTCCAAACAATCAGTTATTCACATAAAGCACATGAGAAACTTCGCTACAAGAACGTAAACATCAGAAGGCTTAGAAAAACTTAAAAATAAATAAATAAAAAATATATAATAAATACATAAGTAATGAATAAACAGGGCAACAGGGTCTTTGGGGGATCTGTGGGGTCTTTGGGGGATCTGTGGGCTCTCGCTGTTTTAGGGCACGCAATAATACCACGTGGACACTGGAATCCAAAAGGTAAAAAAGGGGTTTAGTTTCTGACTCCAGCATTTATAGATTTCCTGGATTGGAGGATGACAGTGCCACCTTTCCATCAAATTTCTCCTCCTCCATAAAAGAATGCCAGACAATAATTTATTTAGATAAACTGCATGAGAAACTTCGCCACAAGAACGTAAACCTCAGAAGGCTTAGAAAAACTTAAAAATGAATAAAATAAATAATAAATATATAATAAATATATAGATAATGAATAAATAGGGCAACAGGGTCTTTGGGGGATCATCTTTGGGGGATCTGTGGGGTCTTTGGAGGATCTGTGGGCTCTCGTTGTTTTAGGGCACGAAATAATACCCCATGGACACTGGAATCCCAAAGGGAAAAAAGGGGTTTAATTTCTGACTCCAACATTTATAGATTTCCTGGATTGGTGGATGACAGTGCCACCTTTCCATCAAATTTCTCCTCCTCCATAAAAGAATGCCAGACCATAATTTATTCACATAAAGCACATGAGAAACTTCGCTACAAGAACGTAAACATTAGAAGGCTTAGAAAAACTTAAAAATAAATAAAATAAATAATAAATATATAAATAATGAATAAACAGGGCAACAGGGTCTTTGGGGGATCATCTTTGGGGGATCTGTGGGCTCTCGTTGTTTTAGGGCACACAATAATACCACGTGGACACTGGAATCTCAAAGGTAAAAAAGGGGTTTCATTTCTGACTCCAACATTTATAGATTTCCTGGATTGGAGGATGACAGTGCCACCTTTCCATCAAATTTCTCCTCCATAAAAGAATGCCAAACAATCAGTTATTCACATAAAGCGCATGAGAAACTTCGCTACAAGAACGTAAACACCAGAAGGCTTAAAAAACCTTAAAAAACCAGCGCGACACAGGTGCTGAGCGAAATGTTCTTTATTCCCTGCAGAGTGCGAGCCCATCGAGGCCATAGCCAAGTTTGACTACGC